CACAATTATGACAAATCACGGCTTGAATTATCTTGCTTTGCATGTAATGAGTCTATCTCATATATTAGTTTCACCTTTTAAGTTGCATTAGTGAAATAAATGAACTTTGCACAACATTCTAATTATTCGAGTTTCACCTGTACATACATGTAATGTCCAGCAAGTAGAACGTAATTAAGCATTTCTCAAGATCTCAGTGCTTCATCTAAACACATAACCAACAGTCTGGACTCCTGGTAGGTGGCTTTTACATACCAATGAAACAGTTGCTTTGGTTTGTGATGCAAAAAGTAGATCTGAGACTGAAGCACCATATCATGAATCTGAAATTCATATACAAGTATATTCCCATGTAAAATCAATTAAGAGGATTATACAAGAAATCTACCGCAATTTGGGATTCAAACTGACTTTGCTTTCAGTTGGAAGTTTATTTTGGGTCCTTCCTGGATCCTTTCCAGTCTACTGGTCTTCTCTGAATCTTCCTTTTGTATTCCTTACTGTCTAAAGAGGCGGGACGAGGAAATCTTGGGCTTTTACTGGAGTCTTCTTGGACAAGTTGTCATCCCCCTTTTTCTAGAACCTTGCTCAGTAGCGATGTTCTTCTGTGGAGCCTAGAAGGTCTTCCAGAAGATCGGGAAGGATCCAGGACCAGTGTCCAAGGACCTGTAGCACACCTTACCGGACTTCCCATGTGGAAAAATGGGTGATCGTAATGACTACGGATGGCGCCGTATCAGATAAAATGTTGTATGGATGTCACCAGCACTCCAAGTATGACAGAATACGTCAAGATTTTTAGTGAATCTTCATTTTATTTTTGAAGTCACTTAAAGTGGATCCAGGACCAGAAGACACCAAAGAAGAGGAACAAGCTGAAGAAGAACCCGGGGAAGACCAATTGGAAGAAGGGGATATGAAGAAAACTTCCAAATGAAAGCAGAGTCATATAATAGAAGATTACCATGACAAATGGGGGAAGGTTTAACCCCATGAAACATGTCTGTGGCAATCTTCTACCTAATTTTTCATTGAAATAAACTTGTACCTTGACTTCAAATTCACATTGTGGTGCTTCAGTCTGAAATCTCTTTGTTCTGCATTATGTCTCTCCTATGGAGGAAGGAAAACAGTGAACAACACAATAATAATATCCCTAAATCTCACCCCAAATCTCCTGAAGATTAGTAGTCAGAAGCAGCAGTGCCTAAGATCTCACTCTTCAGTTATAGGATGACTTTAAGACAAAAGGTACATTTTCAGGGTGCTGCTTAGACACAGTTAACAGTTCTGAAAGCTTTCTATAAGATAGCAAATCTTCACCTTTTGGTGTTCAGGTCTACTTTGACATTATAGCAATAATTGCAACTAAAACATTCCTTGGAGGACTGAGCTGCAAAATTATGCAATGGAGTGTAGCTGTTACAAGCTGGAGATCCGCTGGGTTCTCATTTCATTTAAATTCATAAGCCAATGAGGGCCACAAAGAAGGAGTGAGAGGTCTAAGACCCAAAAACTGAAGTTGCACATGCCTTGGTTAAAGCATTATACACAACAGTAATACACATGTGTGACGTAACCTCCTACATATTACCATATAGAACCAATTACATATACTCTGTAAATTAGAACTCTTGATTCAGATGTGCAATGCCATATAAAATGCATGAGGAAGACCTGGAAAACAGACCCGACGTGTCCCACTGAATCAATATTTATTTAGCAGGCTATTTACAGGACAACTGATCAATATATCTTTTGTCCGGTATAATGACAGACACATGGTTAAATTGTGTATTAATACAATCTGGCAATTTTCAATCACACACATTCTGGACCATGAAATAGAATGAAAGATATTAATTATTGTTTACCTGACTTACTAATTTAAATAACACTTTATACTGAAACACTTTACACTGGAACACCTATTACGCCTGATAACCATACTATAGAAATTAAAGTTTATTTCAGTTACTGCGTGTAAACATATATTAGTTATTACCAGAGCCGGCGCTAGCGCAAGGCAACATGGGCACTTGCCTTACGGCGCCAGGGAACAGGGCGGAAAATTGACAGTCGGCCGCCCTGTTCCCTGGCGCCGTAAGGCACATCCGTGCGGGTGCAGGTGTCCGTGCTCGGATGCAGATAGGATCCATCCTGTCTGCGTATTAGTATGAACATCCGCACCCGTGCAAATGTGCAGTTCAGTTGAGCGTACGGCCGCGTCCTCCCATAGAGAAGAACAGGCTGCTGCCTACAAATCACACGCAGCAGCCTGTCCTTCCCGGGAACGGCCCGATGCATCCGTGAACGCCCCACGAATCTGTATTCTGCATTGCGTTTTATATAATGTATTATTGCTGGGATTCGTGCACTTTAAAAAACCACAAATAGTTTGTTTGCTATCTTTCTCTGTAAAAGATAAATAAGTTAAACGATCACTTTAAGCATCATCACCATTAAAGCTTAATGGAGCACAGATATAATGTATGCTGCATGGGGATCTTGGAGTGGTGTGTGTGTGCGTGCGTGCGTGCGTGCGGGGGGGCGGCAACATGCACCTTCGCCTGAGTTGGCAAAAATCCTTGCACCGGCCCTGGTTATCACAAACAATTAGACATTTGTTTAAAATAATATTGAAGATCACTACATAATGGAAGATCAATGCTATCTGCAGTAGCAATGTAGTGCTTTCCATAATTGTTTTAAGGCTAAACTATACGGGACATTTTAATTTCATGCCACAGACTAATTTAACCTCTCGCTGGCAATTGTCTCCATGGAAGAGCATGTGCACCATCCAGGAACAAATAATACTGAAGATAACTTAGGCAGGAGGTTTAGGCCCAATGTGTATGTATATCCACAGGTGTGTTTGTGTGTGGTTGGGGGAGGGGGTGTTCTAGCCTTTTACCACTGTAGCTCCTTCCATCCTAAGTGGAGTGGCTATTGAAATTTGTGTTGCTAGCACTGTAATCAGTCTGGGTGATTTGTAGCCTGTTATTATTTGGTTATTTCTAGGTGTTCTGCTATTGATTGAACCTACCTGTGACTGGGGTGTGACCCTGCCACAGAGTGGGTCAGCCAATGGGGGAACATTAGTAGTGTCTTTGCCTCACCAGTCTATCACTGAGAGTTTCATGGCCAGTGGTGCATGCTGGGGAAGTGCGTGAATACTTAGGCACTGCAATATGCTCAAGTCAGTCCGCTTTGCCTGGGGGAGATGTACAAGGTTGGAGAAGCTATCTAGGCCTGAGGAGGCCACATGTGGATCAAGGTGGTGTCTGGAACTATGGACCTCAAGAACAAGTCTGGTGTCTGTCCCAGGGAAGATCACATGCATACACTTTATTCAGTTGTTGCTCTACTACACAGTGTCATCCTCTGTTCTACTGAACTATTCCTGCACTGTGAAAGCTGAAGGGATTGGTGATTCTGGAGCCTATTGTCTATGGATGAATTAAGCACTATGCCCTCTTTCCAAATTTTGGCTGTTTTACAATAAAGCATTTAAAAGTGACTTAAAGTGACTGGTGCCCAATTTACTATTTACATAACAACAACAACCCGGCTAAGGATTCACCCCTGAGAGTAAAATGTCAGCTCTCCCTAACACAGGCCTCTGGGGGTCAGGGTGGCACTACACCACTATCTTGAAGCTATCCCAGGATTAAAGATGCTAATTTCCTTTGAAACCAGGGCATCAAGGACCTGTCCCCCAGAAGGTACATCATCCAGCCACCCCGGGATTACAGGAAGTGGGTTTACTGTCACATAATGACGTTGTGCCTCACTCTGCAGCATTCAGGACCTATGAAACCCAACAAACGAATGGCGCAACATAGGAGGGCAAGTTCTAAAGGACAAGACGGTTTTCCTACACTTTAAGGAAAGGGGAAATTCTTTCTAGGACAGCGAGGTTCACATTTTGAACAGAAAGGGCAAGTCATTCACAAGAGGTGTAAAAGAGGCCATCTATGTCAAACTGAAACAATACTCCCTGAACAGTGGTGGGGACCGTCAACACCATCTGTCATCCACATATAACTAAATTTTAACATCTCTACCACACCTTCATCCATGTAAATTGAAAGATTAACACCTATGCAGTCTTCCTGACACCAAGTATGTATGTAACTAAGAGGAAGGTTCTACAACAGGGGTGCCCATTAGGTCGATTGCGATCTACAAGTTGATCACAAAGCAAACACTGGTAGATCGCGATCAGCTCACTGTCCTGAGTATTCTCCTGCTGTGCTAGTGCGGCTGAATGTGTCAGACGCTGCAGACAGGAAGGGGCGCTACACTTCTCCCCATCTGCAGCATCAGACACATTCGGCCACACCATCACCACTGGGGGGCGGGACGCCCCTCCCAGTCTGTAGCGTCGGCCACACTATCACCAGTGTGGGGCAGGATGGCCTCCCAGTCAGCAGCGTCGTCCACACTATCACCAGTGCGGGGCGGGATGCTCCCCCCCAGTCTGCACACTAGCACCAGTGCTGTTGATAAAGGATGGAAAAGGTTAGTCCGACAAGGTGGCTCTGTTTATGTTTTCATATTCAGGCATATAACTTATTTCAGATCATCAGAAGTCTAGAATGAGGTCTGTAATTATGTGCTGCTCCAGGCTGGATTGTGACACCCATACATCCTTTTCATCTGTGCTTTATCATATTTCAATTACAGAATGCACATTTTATGTACAGAAAGAATTGACTGTTTATGGTGGTGACAAAAACCTTGTTCATGTTTCCTGTCAGGGGTGTAAGTTTATCAAGTATAATAAGTACCCTTCCTCAGCAGTTATATAAAATAACTTATGTCAAGGGTGCCCACCTTTGCTGTAACCATCTCTTTCCAAACATTAGGCCGCACTAGCATCACAGGAGGACAGGACAGGACAGCGCACATGAGAGAAGAGTCGGGAAGCTGTTGCAGTGCAGGTAAAGAATGACAACCAGGATAGAGAGAGAGGAGAGACAGGGGAGAGAGAGAGAGTAAGCTACAGCCAGGAGCGGGAGAGAGGGGAGAGATAGCCAGGAGACATAGAGAGAGAAGACACAGCCAGGAGAGAGAGAAAGGAGGGAGGGAGGGGAAGAGACAGCCAGGAGAGAGAGAGAGGAGGGAGAAGACACAGCCAGGAGAGAGAGGAGAGACAGTCAGAGGAGAGAGAGAGAGAAGAGACAGCCAGGAGAGAGAGAAGAGACAGCCAGGAGAGAGAGAGAGTAGAGACAGCCAGGAGAGAGAGAGAAAGGAAAGAGACAGTCAGGAGAGAGAGAGAGAGAAGAGCTGGTCAGAGGAGAGAGAGAAGAGACTGCTAGGTGAGAGAGAATAGATAGCCAGGAGAGAGAGGAGAGACAGTCAGAGGGGAGAGAGAGGAGACAGCCAGGAGAGAGAGAGAGAGGAGACAGCCAGGGGAGAGAGAGAGAGGAGACAGCCAGGAGAGAGAGAGAGAGTAGAGACAGCCAGGAGAGAGAGAGAGAGAGAGAGAGAGAGAGAAAGAAAGAGGAGAGAGACAGTCAGGAGAGAGAGAGAGGAGAGACAGTCAGAGGAGAGAGAGAGAGAAGAGACAGCTAGGAGAGAGACAGTCAGGAGAGAGAGAGACAGTCAGAGAAGAGAAAGTCAGGAGAGAGAGAACAGACAGCCAGGAGAGAGAGAGAGAGGAGAAAGACAGTCAGAGGAGAGAAAGAGAAGAGACAGTCAGGAGAGAGAGAGTGGAGAGACAGTCAGGAGAGAGAGGAGAGACAGTCAGGAGACAGAGAGGAGAGACAGTCAGAGGAGAGAGAGAAGTGGCAGCCAGGAGAGAGCTAGGAGAGACAACCAGAAGAGAGCGAGGAGAGACAGTCAGGAGGATGAGCAAGGAGAGACAGCCAGGAGAGAAAGAGAGGAGAGACAGCCAAAAGAGAGAGAGAGGAGAGAGAGCAAGGGCAGAGAGAGATAAGAGACAGCCAGAAGAGAGAAGAGTCAGCCAGGAGAGAGAGGAGAGACAGCCAGGGGAGAGAGTGAGGAGAGACAGGAGAGAGAGAGAGATGCAGTAGTCCCAGTAACAATTTTATTGTGCTTGTTTTTAAAATAAAGTATTTTTCTTTGGTAGATCTCATTGAGCTCGTCATTTGAAAAGTAGATCTGAAGACAAATAATTGTGGGCACCCCGGGTCTACAACTCAGGGGCGGAACTACCGGTGGTGCAGCTGGTGCGGTTGCCCCGGGGCCCAAGGCAGCCCACTGAGGTCCAGTCCTGGGGATTGTAGGCGGAGGAGGACTGAGAGGGGGTCCCTTAAAAACGTGAGAGGAGAGAGCTGAGAGGGCACATGGTAGTGTCAGCTGTACAGATTCTTATCCTCCTCGGCCGCTGTAGCCACAGAGCATCCGTTCTTTCTGCGTCACATCTGCTGACCTCTGCACTGTGCGTCACACCCGGACCTCTGCACTGTGCGTCACACCCGGAACTCTGCACTGTGCGCCACACCCTGACCTCTGTACTCTGCGTCACACCCTGACCTCTGTACTCTGTGTCCCATCCTAACCTCTGCACTCTGTGTCACACCGCTGAGCTCTGTACTCTGCATCACACCGCTGAGCTCTGTACTGTGCGTTACACTGCTGACCTCTGCACTGCGTTACACCCTTGACCTCTGCACTCTGTATTATACCGCTGATCTCTGCACTCTGCGTTACACCGCTGACCTCTGCACTCTGCATTACACAGCTGGCTTCTGTACTCTGCATACATTTCCCGCACATTTCCCCCTCCTGAGACTGTCTCTACCTCTCCTGAGGTCCTCTGTACCCCTCCTGAGGCCCTCTGTACCCCTCCTGAAGCCCTCTGTACCCCTCCTGAGACCCTCTGCACATGACATCAAGCCGGCATTCCAGAGCAGAGAGGCAGCACAGAGTATGTACCAAATTCATATACTATTATTCTGCATTGCTTTATAATGTATTGCTGGGATTTGTAATCCTCTACAGATGATGGCATTCTGCATTAGAGTGTAAGCTCCTCTGTACAGAGACTGATGTGTCTGGCTCAGTGTTCTCTGTACAGTACTACGGTATATGTCAGAGCTATATAAATGTAAAATAATAGTGTGTGACTATGGGGGGACATTAGAATGTAAGCTCCTTTAGTCCAGAGAGAGCTTAGGGGGTTAGGGGGCAAGTGAGACCCAGTTCCGGCACCCCCCTTGGGAGCAGGAAGGGGGGGCCCCGAGAAAAAAACTTGCAACAGGGCACTTTGTTCCTTAGGTCCGCCACTGCTACACCTTTCACACCTGCCATGGTGTTCTTGGACAATCAGCATATGTCTTGACACATTCCTTGGTGATTGGATTAAAGTGTCTTTGCTACCTGTGTGGATGTAATTGCGTGGATATGACACTCAACTGAAGAAGTGGGTTGGATAGGCTATGAAACATCTTCAACGTTACAAAAAAATCCAGTTGAATGTGACTATTTACTACTTTGTCTACTATGTCTACTTTGTTTATTGCCAACATTCTAGTTTAATGCAATATAAGGTTATATTTTTAACAATATATTTTTAGACTGAGAAATATTACTTAGTCATTAAATTTATTTTTATTAGAATTGATTAATAGAAAATATGGTTATTAACTAAATAAGGTTATTAACTGATTTTAAAATTATGTTTATTAGTTTGACTGAAATGTTATAGTTGTTAACTTGAATGAATTGCTATCATCATTAAGAAACTAGGTCAATATGATTAACTCATTAAGAAATTATGCTGTTAAGAGAAATCCGAGAGAAAAACAGTATGTGGCCTGCCATTGCTGACCTCCTTCTAAATGTTACATGCCTGGCTGTTTCTGGCCTTAATACTTCCTTAACCACAGCACCAGATCAAGCATGAGGCAAAGTGGGTCCTGTGTGGCATACTTTTTTCTGCATCAGTAATTTGAAACGTACTTAATCCATCATGGCAGCCAAGAAATTAGCATTTTTAAAAGGAGAAGTGCAGGTTTTCTTTAACTTAAGTTTACCATATCTTCAAAATGACATCTGGGGATAGCGTACTCTCCAGGTCCACCTTTAACCACACTCACACCCCCCACTTGTAACCACATCTACAAAATCAAGTCCCCATTTTTAGTATATCCTAAAACAACTGGTCACAGACTTTTGGAACAAGAGGCAGACATTTAAGATATAAAAACAAAATGTCCTTGTCACATTTTGGGTGCGGTCAAATAAATTGGGGTAACAGTGGGAGCAGCTGAAAGGGTATGGTTAAATAACATCTAAGCCCATTCTGCTATGGGTCAAGAGTGTCTAACGCAGTGCAGAGGTCAAGAGTGCATAAAGCATGATGTGCAAGGGTCAGGAGTGCATAATGCATTAAGATCTGGGTACATAATGTATGGAGTGCAGGGGTCAGGAGTGAATAAGTGAATAATGTGTTGGAGTGCATGGACTAGGAGTGTGTAAGGCATGCGATACAGGAGTAAATAGTGTGTAACACATAGCATGCAGGGCTCGGGAGTGTGTAACACACGGAGTGCAGGGCTCAGGATAGTGTAATACATGGAGTGCAGGGGTCAGGAGTGTGTAGCACAGCATGTAGGGGTCAGGAGTTAGTAAAGTAGAGGCCAGTGTATGCAGTAGAACCAAAATTCACATCATTACCAAATGATGCAGTAGAACCAAAATTCTATGCAGTAGAACCAAAATTCAACATACATCAGTGCCTCCCCTTACATCAGAGCCCTGAGAACTCTGATGTAGGGAGGGACTCGGATGTAAAGGGGGAGTCTCCCCTTACATCAGAGTCCTCCCATACATCAGGGTCCACAGAGTTCCCCCTTACCTGAGAGTCCAGAGAAATCTCAGGTTGAGTGGAAGCTGGGTGGTGGAGGAGGTAGAACATCGACTGAAGGAGGCAGAGCACTGGAAGTTTCATCATCCACCTCTCTCTGAATGCTGGCTGGGCAAAACAGGTCAGATGCCAGGACACTGGATGATCCTTGCAAGCAGCCACTATTGGCATCATTCAACCTGTTGTCATCATTTAAAACTTCTGCCACTGCAAGTTGGTTGGTAGGATGCTGAGCGGTCCTAGCAACCAACCGAGAAGCAGTAGGGGATAGAATGATGACAGCAGCAGCCTACTCTCTCTGTTATCTCCTTTAATCAGGGAACGTTCGCTGACCCATGGAGCAGCGGCCCCCTTCAAGGGGCACCCAGGGCATGTGCCATACCCTTAATATGACACTGTGTCTGTTTCCCAGGGATAGACCCCTTAAAGCAGGGACTATCCCCAGGAAACGGGGACGGATGGTAACCATACCTTAACTGTTGGAAACATTTTAGTCATTAAAGCTAAACTCAAGCCTTACCTTTATTCTTTCACAGTTATGCAGGTTCTCCTTCAGTCATGAAGCTGCCACTTCTAATGTCCCTGCGCACAGTGTACTCTACAGGCTGCTTCAAAACCAATACTAGCCACCCCAGTTCTGGACTGCATGACATCCAGTTTCATTCAGCCCCTTCCTTCCCAGCCTGAGTGTCAGTGGCTTACACCTCGTGTTGACTGAGCCTCAGCTCTGTCAATTGCTGAAGCCCTATGTTACATGGATGGTCTTCATAAAAAAGGAGTCAGCTTAGGAATGTCCACACCTCCACCAGTCTTACCTTTGAAGGAGAACTATGGATTTAAGGCTTTTCCCCATAGTTCTCCTTAGGGTAACGGGAGGACACAAACTAGTGTCCTCCCGTCACCCTAGGCTCAGTATACCGCGAGCTGTAGCTCGCGGTATACTGAGACGCCGCAGCTGAAGCGGATCCCGACAACTGTGCCGGGATCCGCCCAGCTGTGTGACTGACAGCTGGCTCTGCCTATCTAAAGGCAGAGCCAGCTGTACCCGCCCCCTCCCCCGTCCTTTCCGCCACTCAGCACTGGAGGATCGGACAGGTGAGGGGGGAATCTAGTCCCTCCCCTGTCACGGCTCTCTGCCAGCACAGGATCGAGAAGTGAGCG